AATGATTTATGAGTAGTATATTATGAAATATGATTGATGTAATAACAATTGCTCTATTGTTTATAAGTTAACGTAAACACTATATTATATTGAATTATAGAAGAAAAAACTTGTAAAAAAAGTAGGGAATAAAAATTGTATTTCTAACAAATTGCAATCTTTTGCTTCAATAGCTAGGATAATGTATTTGTATTGTTATTACATCAACTTTTGTGTGGGTGACCACACCGGCCAGCTAACACACGAGTAAACCCTAACCAGGTAATCCTTGATCGACCGAGTAACCCCTGACCAAGTAAACCCTGATCGAGTAACCCCTGACCGATCGAGTTTCCCCTGATCAACCGAGTAACCTCTGACCGACCGAGAAACCCCTAACCAAGTAACTCCTAATTAACTGAATAACCCCTAACTGAGTGAGTAACCTTTGACCGAGTGAGTAACCCCTGACCAATTAAGTAACCCCTAACAAAGATATTATTCTATAAAATATTCCAATAATAATTACAAGATATTTATAAAAATTTCTTTATTTAGGAGTTTGTAAATGGGCAGGAAAATACTGATTGATAGAGTAACATGTGTCTTTATTGCATCTAGGTGCCCTCTGTTTTAGCCACATATAAAAGTTTGTGTTATTATTATTATGGTTTGATTAAAAAAAATTGATAGGAAATTTTGTACAAAACGTGATATTATCATATTTTGAGTAGTATTGGCAAGGGAGAGAGAATTAATTAAGATATTTTCCACCCAATACTCCTCAATGGAAGAAAGTAAGTATACTATGGGGGGCATAAAAGGGTAATATGGGAAACTGTCATTTTTTTAATAGGAAAGCCTGATTAAAAAAACACATATGAAAACAAATTATTGAAAAAAAAAAAGAGTGAGTAGTATCTCATACGTAGTACTTTGTATATGTTAATACTATTTTAAAAATTATCTAACATATAAAAAATATGTAAAAAAAAAAATTCTATTTGATTGTATATGGATTAAATGTTACAGTCAAAATGGAATGATAATATTTTAAAAAATACTTCTTACATATAATATTTCAATATTTGACAAAAATAGTTAAATTAAATCAAATTAAATAAATAAAAAAGGAATAAAAGGCGTAGATTTTTTAAATTAGACATAATCGTACTTACCGAAATGAGTCAAAAGATGTGATGAAAGATATTATTCTATGAAATATTGCAATAATAATTAAAAGATATTTAAAAATTTCATGCTTAAGAATGTCACTAATAATGAAAACAAAGCTTGACTTTTCATGCTTCCCCTGCTTCAGATAAGAGTAGATTTTACTACAGTCCGTTTCTAGCACAACTAAAATTGCGTAGGCCAGCTTCATATCTTAGATACTTAAATTTTCGTAACACTTTTTTTATTCATAAATAAAAAAATTTTAAAAATAAAAATAACACTTAAATATTTGGATGCCTACCTAATTAATATGGCAAACAAATTAAAGAGTACACTAAAATCGTAAAAAGTTAGAGTTATTATTACATTATGAATACACCGGTATAATTATTACTCCAAAGATCAGATAAACTACATTACGAGATTATTTTTCATAATCAATCAAGATTCTTAAAAATTGCAATGTTGCAAACGTGGATTAATATTGAAATTCGTCCTATATATGATTTTTAAATATATAGTTTGAGAATAAAATGATATGCATATTTTATATAATAAAAATTTATGCATTTTTTATAAAATAATACTATATATGCATCTTATGTATTTTAGAATTAATATTGTATCTATTAATAATTGATATTGCTATCATAATTATACTAAGATAAATCCATTCAATAAGTTAACTAAATAAGAATGATATAAATTTTGTTTCACGGCAAGAATATCCCAATGATCAATTTGTGATGTTATAATTTCTATAAACCAAGTTCAACAACAAAAAAAAAAAAAAAAAATGTATATTTATGTCTAGCAAATTAATATTGATTTCGTTAGACTTATAATTGGAATATTAATATCACAATAAGATGTAATTGATGTATTTAGAGGTGGTAAAATGAGCGGGAAAAGTTTTAACTATAGAGCGACACGTGTCAAGCTGTAACTTGAGTGTCCTCTGTTTTAGTATAATTATAGATAGATTTTGTTTGAAAAAAAAACAAACAAATCGTGCAATCGCACGAGCTTCGTCTAGTTATATATATGGTTAACTTAACAATTAAAGTCTAAATGCCTTTTAATATTTGGCAAAAAATTGTCTGACCAAACTTATGTTATAAATCTTTCAATATGCCAATTTTAAAAATCATGCCTTCAATAAATCGAGTTATTATAGTTAATTACTTATCATCATAAATTGTATTCCATATATAAACCACCACTTTATTAGAAAAGGGAGAGGGTGGTGACTGGTGAGGCTGGGGGAGGGGTGATTTTTTTTACAAAAACCATTTAATTATTATTAAACTAACCATGGTTAGCTATTTTAATTAAAATAACTATTATATATGGTAATAAAAAATTCATAATAAGTTTTTTTTTTTGCGATTCACCAAAGAGAAAAATAAAAAATTGAATATTACCAAAGAGAATTTCCCTTTTTTTATTTTCTCTCCTACTAACCCCACTTACATTACTTACTCATTATTTCTCTCCCCCTCCCCCAATTGTACTTTATATTATACTTTCCTTAATTGTACTTTATATTATTTCCATCTAAACAATACTCTCTCCGTCCCCATATATAGTTCCTATTTGTATTTTTTCACGGTATTTAAGAAATAGGGGAGAAAGTGGATGAATTACATTAAAAAAAATTACAATGAATAAAATTAAAAGAAAAGAGGGTAAAATGGTCTTTACGCACTATCCAAAAATAGAAACACAAACAATTACATTAAAAAAAGTACAATGAATAAAATTAAAAGAAAAGAGGGTAAAATGGTCTTTACGCACTATCCAAAAATAGAAACACAAACAATATTTTGGATCTCCAAAATAGGAAAAGAGGAATTATAATGGGGGACAGAGGGAGTACTTTATATCATAAAAAAAAGGAAAATTTGAATTTTAGTACCTCAAAATTGGGGGTAATTGAATTTTAGTACCCATCTAATTTTTTTTTTTTAAATTAGTACCTCCAAACTGACAAAAGTATAGGTTTCAGTACCTCCGTTACTATTCCGTCTGATTTGCCGTTTGTGGGCCCCATGTCAACGGCTAGTTTGTTACTTCCCTTTTTTTAAACCACGATTTTCTTCGTTTTTTTCCCATTTTTGCTGCTGTTTATAGTGAAGAATCAAAATTTGTGGGATAGAAATTCAATTAGACTTAGGGTTCTTGTTAATTGCTTAATTGCGAAGATGTTGGGAGGATTGTTCACGCATTTGCTGAAGATTTGGTTGGCTGAAAAAAAAAGGTCAGTTTGTTCATAATTTTGTATACGAATTGTTATATTTGAAGTTGATTTGAGTAGAATTGTGTTGTATTTGTGGTTCATATGATATTGACATTGTAGTTTGTACTGCCAATTGTGTGTTTATTTGAATAATGTTGATGTAATTTGTATTTTGATGCTGTAGAAAAGTTAGGGTTCTTTAATTTGGTTAAATTGGGGATTTTTGGTGTTATTGAAATTAATGTTGCATGTGTGTCATATTTCTAAAATTGGGGTTTTTTGTTGCATATGTGTATTTTTATTTGCAGAATGGCTGAGGATAGAGTGGTTTTCAGATATAAGTTCTTGAGTGTAGTGATTGACATTGAAGTAGAAATAGATAAAGACAACTTGATAGATAAATGCTTAGAGTGGGAAGATCGTTTGCGTGAAATGGACGATCCAGTAGAAGGATCTATAGATATTTTGTTTCCCAGATTCCATTACATTTATAAAGGGAAATATAGGGATTTAGAGGATGATGGGGATGTGTTCAAAATGATTAGGAGGCTTGGTAATAAGGACATCTACACCATTCATGTGGGCACCACTGATGATCCTGGGTTCTTGGCAGATTGTATGTGGGAGTTTAGGCAGAAACAGAATGGGAATTAGCCACCCCCTGGCTATCCCTATAATGGTGCTCAGCCACCAGTTTAACAAGGTTTGTGTGATGCATGGTGTGTCTAAGTGGTGTTGTTGTTGTTGTAGTGTGTTTTGTCTAATTCCCCTATTTTTATTTTGTTTGATGTTTGCAGGAGTCATAATGTCCTGCAATACTGAATCTCCCTCTAAACTGAAGAAGTGTAACTGTGGGTTGCCACTAGCAAGGCTGACATCTTGGACGAGGGAGAATCCAGGACGCAAGTTCAAGGCTTGTAAATTTTGGGATCCAAACACTGAGACAAGGGGTTGCAAATGTTTTGAATGGGTTGACTTAGAGCAAACTGAGTGGCAAAGGGAGGTAATCAACAACCTCACTCTTGACAAGAAGTTAATGAAGTCTGAGATGAATTCTTTGCAAAGGGAGGTTGATGATCTTGTTGGGCAAAGGAGGTGTTTGCTAAATGAAGTTGACACATTGAAGACTAAATGAAAGGCCTTGTCTGGTGATAGGAAGAAGATGACAGGCAACAATGGTAGTGGTGACAGGCTTCAGTTGACTGTAGTTGTTGTATTTTGTGTACTTGTTTGGTTTTAGGAGTTTGTGTAGTCATAAAACTTGTTTAGGGGAGGGTGATGAATTCCAGGGTATTATGTCTAAGTATGGTGATACTAATTTTCCTACTAATTATGTATGGTTCTTAATTGTAGTTGTATTTGTGGTTTGTATTGAACTTAAGTTATATATTGCACTTTATGTATGTATGAATTTCAAAAAATATTGGCCTTCAAATATATGTGCTTCATTTATCTAATAAAATAGAGTCATATCATATATACATAAATATGTCTACTTACAAGGGACTAAGTCCAAAAAGTGACTACTAAATATATAAGTTCATCAAAGTGAATACATAATGGATACTGTCAGAGAAATAGGTTCAACAATTTTCAGAAATTGCACTTAATTTTTTTTCTTGCTTGGCCTTGTTGTTGTAGTATTTTTTGCTGTTGTTGTGGTTGATGCTTGGCTGCAGAGGTATGGCTCAGCTCCTGCACTCTGCCTTGACCTTGTATTAGGCCTTTGAGAAGGTGCTGCTTGTGAGGGTGCTGATGCTCCTTGAGATGCTTTTGCTGCAGCAGTTTTTGAGGATGCCTTTGGTCCTTGAGATGCTGCTGCTGCAGCAGCTGTTGAGGAAGCTTTTGCTGCAGCAGTAGCAGCCTTCTTCTTAGCCTCTTCTTGTGGGAACTTCTTATTGGCAATGCTGTTAGGTCCTGCTGATGCTCCAGGAGTAGTCTGCAAAAATTAGGGGATGTATACTAAATTAAGACAAAGAAAAACAAACTAAATGACACATAGATGAGAAAAATTTCAGAAATAACCTTGTTTAAAGCTCTTGCAGCTTTGATTCTCCTCTGTTCTTCCACCCATGGTGTGTTTACAGCAGGTTTTCCCATAGAGTTAGGCTTGGAAGAAGGCTCTTTCACTTCTGGAGGCATATTGGAGCAAGTTTTTGCATAGTGTCCAAATTGAGCACATTTTTGGCATCTCTTCTGCCTTTTTTGTGAAGTACCCTCAGCTGCATCTGCTACACCCTCTCCCTTTTCCTTCTTTCTCTTTTTGGATTTAGGTCTGCCAGGCATAACTCTCACAGGTGGTGGCAGTGGCTCCCTTAGTTGAATCTTTTCCCAGTGTTTGGGACCTGGCATAGGCTATACTGGCAAGTCATATGCCTCTAAATATCTCTCCCTTGTATAATAGTGGTCCACATACTCTTCTGGATCACTTCTCTTGTCTAATATACAAGAAAATCCATGCACACAAGGGAGGCCAGTTAATTGCCAGTGGTAGCATGTGCATGTCCTATTTTGAAGGTCAACAGTTACTTGGTCTGAATTGAGGTTGACCTCATAAGTGTCATCCCTAGAGACCTGAACTATGCAGTGCCTAGCCACCCTCTCCATTCTCTCAAACAGTTTAGTCACATAAGGCATGACTTTTCCTTGAATTTTTTTCACACCCTCCCACTTGTCATTGTGTCTTTTCATTGCATACCTCCTTAACCATTCCATTTGGGTTAGGATAGGTTTGTCCCTAGCTTCTCTAATGCAAGCATTGAAGGTTTCACACATATTATTCAATAGCATATTAGATTTGCAATTAGTTGAAAAGGCATGCCTAGACCAATGTTGGGCAGGGATGTTGTCAAGATATTCATAGGCATCCTCACTAAGGAACCTTATGGATTCCATTGCAATTTCAAAATCAGCCTACAATAAGTGCAAAGCAATTACATATAAGTATGCTTATAAACTAATCACATCTGGATTTTCCACAAAAAATGGCAAACTCAGCATTCAAACTGAGCAAACACAGTGCCCAGTCATACTTTAATGACAAAATGAGCATTCATAATGACCTCACAAATTGAGCAAACAAATAACACATAAACTGAGCATACAAATAGAACAGGGCATATATTAGCTAACATACTGCAAGAACATAACAGACAAATCAGCATACCCAAATTAAGTTTGCAAACATAGTCAGCATACTCATATTAAGCCAGCAAACAAAGTCAGCATACCCATATTAGGCCAGCAAACTTGTTTACCAAAACTGACCACCTAGATGGTCACAAACTGTTCTCAACTAAACTAACCACAAAGTTATGCTTATAAACTAATCACATCTGGATTTACCACAAAAAATGAGCTAATGCCATACTAATAAACAAACAAAGAACAGAGCATACCCATACTGTAGCTCTAGCAGCATTCCAAAACAACTCTTTGAATGTGGACCCTGTGAACTGTAATTTGAAGTTTGCCCATATGTGTCTCACACAAAACCTCTTCTCAGCAAAGGGCACCACCTCCTCAAATGCCTCAAGAAGGCCCTAAAAACACAAAAATGACAATTATATGTGAGTAAACAAATAAAACACAGTCAATTCAAAATAAATGCCACAAAAAGTCACTAAATTGATAGTTCACTAACCTTCTGCCTATCTGACATGTAAGTGAAGCCACCTCCCATTGCCAAGTCATCCAAACTTTGTTTCAAACACTCCAAGAACCAGCACCAAGTTTCTTTGTTCTCCACCTCTACAGTAGCCCATGCAAAGGGGTAGATGTTGTTGTTCCCATCCTTTCCCACTGCCACCAGAATCTGACCAGGGTAGGAGCCCTTCAAATGGCATCCATCCACCCCTATTAAAGGCCTACAACCTTTTAAGAAACCCCTTACCAGTGGGGAAAGGCACACATACATCCTCAAGAATAGTGGTGGCTCTGGCCTATCCAATCCATCAACCACCACATTCACTACAGTACCTGGGCTATATTTCTGCACTGCCTTCCCATAATCCCAAACTCTGGCATACTGTTCAGAAGCAGAGCCATATATCATGAATTTAGCCCTACCCCTGGCTAACCATGCCTTGTAGTACCCAATCTTAATGCCCAAGTCACTCAAAACCCTATCCCTAAAGCTGTTTATCTTCCAACTAGGGTTGTTTCTCCACTCTTCCACATATCTCTCAGCCAAGTACTCTGCTGTAACATTGGCATTCATGTTGCTCCTCATACAATTGTGTTCCAACTTTAGATCTTGGATTTGCCAAGCACTACTCTTGAACAAAGGCCTTGCAATGACCCTATACTTGCACCTCCTCACTTCCTCACTGCACTTACAAATAGGAAGCTTACTCCTCTTTGAATCCCATTCACAACCACATCTCTTCCTGCAGAAAGTGGTTAAATTCTCTTTGTTGTTGTGTAGAAAATAGAACTCATATCTATTTTCAATTGCATGAGTTCTTAGTACTTTCCTAAGCACCAAAATGTTAGTGAACTTCTGATTTTTCACCAACACAACAGGTTTCTTGAAATCTGTATCCTCCCTAAACCAAGGACTGTCATCTATGTCCTCATCAGAACCATGCTCACTTCTCAGCTCATCATCATCAGTTTCTTCTTCATGAAGCTGTACTTCACCCTGCCCTAGATCTTTCACCAGTTGATCCAACTTCTGCTTACTCCCCTGCCCTGAACACCCAGGATGAACCAATGCCAAACTCTTTTCCACCTCACCTAGGATGTTAGCAGTGCTCTCACCCAATCCCTCATCTTCAGAATAACCCTCTTCCTCCTCACCTGGATTCCAATCTATGTCTATGTCACTTAAGTCCTCACTAGAAGAACCTGAATCACTCTCCTCATCATCAATGAACAGCTTCCTTTGTGCCTTACCCTTCCCTTTCCCCTCTGATTTGGCTATCCTCTTTCCCAACCCAGCAGCTTCACTCAGCTTCCCTTTCCCTTTATCATTTCCCACCCTCAATTCACTTCCTGAGGAAAACCTAGGACTCCTCCTCACTAATGGCTCCTCATCATCAATGAACAGCTTCCTTTGTGCCTTACCCTTGCCTTTCCCCTCTGATTTGGCTATCCTCTTTCCCAACCCAGCAGCTTCACTCAGCTTCCCTTTCCCTTTATCATTTCCCACCCTCAATTCACTTCCTGAGGAAAACCTAGGACTCCTCCTCACTAATGGCTCACTAACTGCACTACAAGTTTCTGTTAATGGGTTGGACTGTCTCCACCTAGGGCTCCTCCTCAAAACTAATGAAGTACAAGCTTTTTTGAGAGTGTGTTGCTCCTCCTCAACAGTGTTATCAAGCTCATCCATTTGAGATTCTACAAATTAAGGAATAAACAATCTAATTAACCAATTTTCTATATCACAAACAACAATAACAGCAACTGTAACATGCATTACCCTACACCAATTACCATAAAGCAACAACACAAATACCCTAACACATGCATTTGTAACATTCAATTATAAATCAATTTCAATTAAATTGATACTTTAATCCAAACACAGTAATCTAGGGTTTAATTAATTTTTTCCAAAAATACCCACAAATTTCATCAAAATTGCGCAACAAACCATTAATGGACAGTACTAAAAGTTGGGGAAATCATACATGTTCGTTGTCAGAAGAATCTCCCACTTCTTTCAATGGAGATGACGACTCCAAGATTTACCTTTCCCAGAAGCTTGCTGATGTGTGCTTTGAGTCAATTGCAGAGGTACAATGAAAACAAAAAAAAAAAAAATTTACAGCCTAGCAATTGACAGTGGAGAGAGAAAGAAAATGTGGTTGAATTTGGGCAATGGAGTTATTGCATGTGGTTGAGCATTTGATTATGGAGGAACAGGGCAAAGAGAGACAAAGAGAGTAAAATGGAGGGAATTGAATGAGAATCGAAGAGAGAGAAAGAACAAAGGGAGGGAAGTTTGGTAGCTGGGGCCCACAAACGGCAAATCAGACGGAATAGTAACGGAGGTACTGAAACCTATACTTTTGTCATTTTGGAGGTACTAATTTAAAAAAAAATTAGATGGGTACTAAAATTCAATTGCCCCCAATTTTAAGGTACTAAAATTCAAATTTTCCTAAAAAAAATTATCTTTTGATCTTCACTCTATAATTTTCATAAAACTTTATGTATACCCTATTGTTGTAATTATTTCAAAACAGAGGAAGTATACTCCCTATATTTTTAATTAGGGTACTAAATTGACTAGGCATGTATGCTAATGTAAAACTTAATTGGACTAGCTATATCTTCAAAATAAATTATAAAAATTAATAATCCCTCGTTTCTAAAATTATCGACACATTTTGACTTTTTTTTCACTATTCAGATACTAACTTTGATCATCGCTTTATATGAACGTATAAAAACCAAATTTATCATGATATATATGACTAAATACGAAGTAGGTATTAATAAATAAAGTTTCATAATATCAACTTTTTTATATATTTTTTACTAAAATTAATCATAAGGTCAAATTAGTTCATTAGCATGTGTGTCAAGTTTTACTATGTCAATTATTCAAGAATGGAGGGAGTATTTGAAAACTATACATTGATACTATTCCAACAAATACTGAAGTACTCACATGATCATTATATTTTTCCATAGATATATAATTTACTAATATTGGTCAAAGTGAATTATATAAATAGTTTAAAATTTCATATTGGACACTTTAAAAAATGGTGAGATTTTTATTTTACTAATATTCATCAATCATATACTACTTGTGCATATTAAAGGTAAACTTGTCCATTGGCATTGGCATGTCTGGTAAGTTTATTAAAGGTAAACATGTTCATTGACATGTTTGGTAAGTTTGAATATGTCCATTACTCTAAAGCAGAGGAAATACACTACTACTATTAGCACCACTCTACCAAGCAATATATATATAGAAATAGGATCATATGAGACCACATCCCTTATGTGAGAACCCTTTTATATGTGAGAAATCATTATAACCGTTGGATCAATTACATCCAACGGCCACAATTAATCCCGGTCAAATGCGTTTTTTCTCTCTCCTCCTTCCTCTTTCATGCACAATTTTCTCTCTCCTCGTTCAAGTTCATCTTTCCTCAGAAAATTGAAAATCCCAAAAAATTTGAAAGATTTTAGAGAGAGAAGCAATACTATGGCAGTAGAAGAGCTTGAGAAATCAATGGCGGCAACTGAGATTGAAGACCATAGAAAAGACGATGATGATTTGGAGGAAGGCGAGATTATCGACAACAACTCAAACGCCGAAAAACCCAGCAAATCAATCGCAACAACTCATCCTCTTGAGAATGCTTGGACTTTTTGGTTCGATAATCTTACTGCTAAATCGAAACAAGCTGCTTGGGGTAGCTCTATTTGACCCATTTATACTTTCTCTACTGTTGAAGAATTCTGGAGGTTTCTCTTTTTATCTTTGTTTTTCAATTTTATTAATTTGATTGTGAATTTATTGAATTTGGTTGTTTAAATCTTTTTGTGATGTGGGTGATTGAATTAGGGTTTTGATTTCATTTTCTTCGAGAAATGTTATGTGGGTGACTAAGGTTTTCTTGTGTGATTTTGTTTAGTTTGATTTCTTGTGTTAGTTTCTTGATTAGCGTAGCTAATTGTTGATCATTATGCTTGGATTAAGAAAACGGGAGTGTTGAATTTGTGAATCAGGATTAATAGTTTATGTGAACAACTTGATTTTTCGAGGCATTTGGTAGGATTAGTGAGGGTTTCTTGTGATATTTATGGGTTTAATAGTCTAATAGAGTTAATTTTTCACCTATCATTTGGTATATTGTTGATGATAATATTTAGGGGAAGAGAAGGATTTAGCTATTTCATACAGATTGCAGCATTCGTTTCCGATATTGGAAGAACCATTTGTTACTGAAATACCAGGTTATTGGATCTGCTTGCAAGAACAATATCATAGGTCTATTGGATAAGTGACACTACTTGAGAAATTATTCATTGAATTTTGGCTGTTGATGAAATTACATTTCTGATATCCATGTTATTGATGTCCCAATATTACATTTTGCTCATCAAAGTGCGCCAACTCATGCCTTTTAAATATAGGGGGTGGATGAAGTGATAGAGGTTTAATAGTATAAAATTGCAAAGTAGTTCATGTCGTAGGTTATAAAGAATCCATTTATCCTTGGTGTTATAAAAGATTTTGCTTCTGGTAACCCTAGTAAGGCCACAAATGAATTGCATCAGTCGCACGAGAGTAAGTTGTTCAACCAGATGAATAGTTCTCTTTCCGAAGAAGAGAAACAGCTGGTTAGTAACGAAGAAGACGGTGATTTAGTATTACAATTTGAGCACTTTGTATATACTTCTTAAAAGTCATTTGCTAATATTTTATTTAGAAGAAAGCAACTAAAATTACTCGTATTTCACTTGTGTTAGGAATGCTCATTGAACCAAGTAAATGAAATGATGCTTCATTGTGATCAAGGCCTGCAACATGTACATTGGAACGCTATAATCACTAGTAGAAAAAATGAATTACGCAGCGCACTTTTCGCACCAGTTGTTGAAAACCGGTGGGAAAAGAAATGGGTGGGATTGGGGAAAATACTTTTCGCACCGGTTCCTAATAAACCGGTGCGAAATCATCTTTTTCGCACCGATTCAAACTGGTGCGAATTACGAAATATTAAAAAAAAAGGGGTGGAAGGGATTTTGCACCGGTTCAGACCAAACCGGTGCTAAATACTGTTTTCGCACCGGTTCAAACCGGTGCCAAATTTAAAAAAAATCTGGGCTGCTTTTCTTCTTTTTTCCTTCTTTCTTTCCATGTTCTGTTTTAATTTCCCTCTCGTTTTCGCCTTCGTTCTCTTTCCAGCATCCCGAATTTTCACCTTCTCCATTGAAGCGGTTGCCCTAGCTTTCTCACTCCATT